TTGCCCTGGTGACCTGAACAGCTTTCTCCTCTGGCGAAGCTGGCAGCCGCCCAGCACACCCGGGCTTCTCTCGGCAGGGTCCGAAGAACGTAGGGCCAGAGAGTCCAGTAACCTAGTCGTGATGAGGGCCGTGCCAGCCGCTGGTGTGCGAGAGGCGTGTTATTGTGCCTTACGTGTCGTAAGTCAGTGCTCACAATAGCCTGCCTTCCGGGGACTTGCCAGCGACTGTGGGACTGTGGGCCATGTCCCCAAAGCTAGCAGGGTGAGTGAGCGGCACAGGCTCGCCGACTGCTCCCAGGAACCTCCAAGACTTTCCTCGCAGAGCTTGAGTTGGATTCCAGTTAGCTCGGCGTCACGTGTCCGGCAGTCACTGTGGGCAGGGCACTGGCCCCGCTGCAGCGTTCGCCAGGCTGCTTGAGCAGATGAGAAGGCTCCCTGCTCGTGCTGACGTGTGTGTGACAAAGCGAGGAGGGGCCCTGAGGACAGCACGGTCCCCTGGAGCTGGGACCCGAGTGGGGTGAGAAGTGCTGTGCGTTTTGGAGGAAGGTTGGGATTCTGGTGGCAGGGTGGGCGGGGCTGGGAAGAAGGACGGTCAGCGAGGAGCTTGATTGGTCAGCGAGGGGCTCGATCGTGGGGTACTGTTTGGCTGGAAAGAAGGTGAGAGAGGAGGTGAGGCGGGAAAGGCAAGCTGGGGTGGGGGCTGTTACTAAGACTCGACTGTAGGCTCTGGGCTGAACTCTAGACAGAGGGCAGCAGTGGGGGTTCGCCCCCTAAAAGATCCCCGAGAGGACCCATGCCTGCTGGCCCCTGGAGAGCCCACTGACGGAGGAGATCGGCCAGCCAGGGCCTCTGCGCATCTGCGTCTATTGCTTGAGTGGAGATCGCCCTCGCAGCCCCTGCAGTGTATGTGCGGGAGGGGGGACAGTGAGAGGCCACCTCTGTGCCCAGGGCTTGTCCCTGTGAGTAGCAGCAGCTCTGATTAGGCCTGAGGTGCAGCCCTGTGGCCTCCCGGGGGTCTATACTGCACAGCCCCGGGCAGCGCCTGGCCGAAGGCAGCCCCACAGCCCACAGCATGGTGTGAGCCAGACTGCACATGGCGGGACCAAGGCAGCAAACCAGCGTGAGAATTCCAGTGGCACACGGCTCAGAGGCTGGCGTGGGGAGCTGGGGCCGCGTGCGTTTCAGGCTTCCTGAAGGAGTTGGGAGTTGGGGAGCTACTTGAAAGTCACAGTGAAGAGAGAAGGAGGCATCGCTCGCCCAGCGTAGCTTCGATGGCATGGGGCTGGACTGGGACAAGTGGCCCCGGAGCAGGGGGTCCTCAGGGTGGGAGGGAGCAGGCTGCCTGGGGGTGCCCGTGAAGGGTTAGGAAGCTCACCCCAAACTAAGCCCTCATCTTCCTGCCACGCCCTGGGCACCGCCGTGGGGTTCCCGTTCCAGGAGCTGGGCTGTTTTGCCCCAGAGAACCTGCTTTGCCCTGGAGCCTGGGTGTCCCCAGGATGTATCGTCCTGGAGTCCAGGAGTTGCCACAGGGCGCAGGGACGGTCCCAGGGTCAACGTCTCCATGGAGCCTCACTGCTTCCCCAGGGCCTGGGTGTGACGTGGTGTCAGGCACGGCTTCATGGCTCACGGCCACCTCCCTGTCACCCTGTCCCTGGCTGCAGCAGAGGGCAGCAAGATGGGCAGGACCCGTCGTGGACCCTGTAACACTGGCAAGTAGCAGCAATAGTGACTGACAGTTACTGAGCGCTCACTGCTTGCCGTCCGAGCTGGGCGTTTGTATGAACCCACCTCATCCTCACTCACAGCCAGGTGTCACCCAGGGGTCGTGTGCCACCTCTGGAGGCCACAGAGTTCCTGGTAGCTGGGGGCTGGGCAGTGGCTGGGGGGCGGGGGTGCAGGGGGGCTGGCGTGCCCACTGCCTTGGCCCTGCTGGCGCCGTCCTGTTGCCTGGTGGGGCACCGATCAGCCAGGTTTCCAGGGAAGGAATCAGCTTTATTGAGCGTCTTTGTCTGCTGCGTGTGCCCCACACGCCTGGTTCATCTCCTCGGTACCCGTCTGACCCATCGCAAGGAGAGAGGAAAGCGTGTTGTCCAGGAGCTGGCTTTGCCGACACTTTCTAAGGTGATCGCCGGGGCCTAGGGGACGTTTAGACTTGGATGGGAAGACGAGGGAAACTGGCTGAACTGGAAGAAGGTTGTAGCCCCTTTCGTTCAAGTTCTGATCCTCAGCGCAGGGCCGGGTCCTGAAACTGTCAATGTCCTCATTTCTGGGCAGGCACAGGGACTCAGGCCTGCGCCTATCTGTCCCTCTCCACCCCAGGGCCCCTGAAACTGTCCTGCCCTGTTCCCGGTCCTTCCGTTGGCCAGCAGCCACTCTGCTGGTCTGTGACAGGTCCTCCCAGGGCTGAGGCACGAAGCCCACCCCCATGGCCTGTGGTCACACAGCCGGGAGGACATCTGGGGAGGATGGAAGCCAAGACCTCCTGGCTCTTCGCTGACCTCGGGGGGAACCGGTGCCCGGGGTGGACGGGGACCCGTCACTTCCCACAGGCGTGAGGCTGGGGCCAGGGTGTCGAGTGGGGAGGCCCGCTGGCCTTGCTCCAGGGGTGGGGTGCCCTGGGGGGTTGGGAAGGGCTTTGCCACAGGAGGTGCAGCCCCGCTTCTGAGCAGAGGAGCCCGGCCTGGCGCTGGCAGGGGCTGGACTCCTGCCACATTCCCACACTCTGCCTGGAGATTGGGTTTCCTGCTGAAATGGTATCTCTGTGTCACAGTCTTCCAGTCCCCAGCTCCTCCACTCCAGCTGCTGCCAGCGGCTCTGTCTGTCCTAAGGCGCCCCCCCCCTTTACTGCCGTGGGGTCCTGAGAGGAAAGACACAGGACAGAGTGGCCAAATGCACAGGGTACAGGGTCAGACAGACCCGAGGTCAAATCCTGCCTCCCTATGAAGTAGCTTTGAGATGCTGGCCTCCGAGTTTTCTCTCCTCACCTGTGAAATGTGTCTGTCCCTCATGGCTGTGTCTCAGGATTCCTCCCAGATGAGGTGAAGCTAAGGTGTGTAGTGCCTGGCCTGTGACAAGCGTCCAGCAAATGGCCAGGGTTCTCTGCCCACCCTCACTATATGGGGGTGTAGGGGAGGAGACGTGGCTTCTGTCCTTTTCTAGGGCGCCCCCTCTGAGGCGGGACAGCAGCACTGTGCCCCGGACCTGCCACCAGCCCGCCCGCTCCGCCCCAGCCAGGCCCCTCACCTCCAGGATGCCCCCTTCTCGCCTTTCTCTCCTCTCTGGGACCCCGCCCCCCGGGTCCCCGTCGTGCTGTCTGCTCCGGGTGACTTGTTCGTAGGACCCTTGTGTGCCTAGCATGTTCTGAGGAAGCACCTCCCCCAGGGTGCTGGTGCTTTCCAGACGCCGCTCAAACTGCAGACACAAAATTAGACATGTCAGTGTTTGTGCTGTCTGTCTGAAATTTGCATTTGATCGAAAGGCACCGGCACCCTCCCACCCCCATCTCTCCCTTCCCGGCCTGCCCCTCCCCACGCTGCGCTCCACCCTCTCCCTTTGCTGAGCTCAGGAAACCCTCCCGTGGGGCTCGGCCGCAGATCTACGTGACATTCTCTGCTTCTTGTCTCTTTGGGGGCCAGCTCCCCAGATTTTCCTTGGGTACAGCCTGTTCCTCCTGTGCCTCCAACACTGTCGGTTCCTGGAGCTTGTTGTCAAGAGTTCAGCTGCTGGCGTAGCAACGAGCCGGCTGTGCTGGGGGCTCGTGGAGGCGGGGTGATGCCCACCCGGCATGGCCGTGCCCACTGGCTGCCAGCACAGCCCTGTGCACGAAACCACCGGGCTCAGCATGGCCTGGGATAGCGGCCTGCAGCCTGTCTCTGGAGGAAGCCATGAGGGGGCAGGCCGAGGCCCTCATAGGACAGCCTGGCCACCGTCACCCCTCCCTTGGCTGACACACAGGCGGGGGGCGGGACCAGGGTAGCCCCCGCTCCTTCCTGCGGAGGCCTCTGCCTCCTGCCTGCCCTAGCCTGCCAGCAAACCTGCCGAGGTTAGAGTCCGCCGTCCGCACTGCAGACGCGCATCTCTCAGTGACCTGTGCCAGCGTCCAGGCTCAAAACCGCTCCTCCGTCTGCCTTGAGCTGCGTCCTTGAGATTTGGGGACCAAAAAAACCCCCAGCAGGTCCTTGAAACAGAGGAGTGGGCTAAGCCCAACTCCCGTGCTGGCAGCCGTCTCCATGGAGACAGGGAGGAGGGGNACCTGGAAACCGAGGCTGGATGAAGTGACCCCGATCTCGCTAGGGTTCTGAGGCTGCGGCCACCCCCACCCACACCTCCTCTTCCCTCAGGATCGGGCCACTTGCCGGGTCTGCGCTGCCCTGAGCTCAGTCCACGCTCCAGAAAATGGCCATGCCTCCCTCACCTCCCCACCAGCCACCTCATTCTAGGGGACCCTGTCTGGGCTTGCTCCCCCAGACCCCATGGAGCAGCTCCGACGTTCCCCGTGCGTGCCCGGGCACCGGGAGTGCGGTGTGCGGCAGCAAGCTCCCACCAGCTCCCCAGGGCCCACGGTCAGCACCGCCTCCTAAGCCTGTGGTCATCTCGCTGGTAGCTTAAGAGCAGCGGTGGCAGGAGAGTTTATATCACGGACGCTGGCAGACACCGCACGTCAGGCGTCCCTGCCTCGAAGATCCTTTCTTAAATTTGGACCACCATGTTGCTGGAGATGGGGTTTAGCTGACCTCACCCAGGAAAAGCCTGGCCCGATGGAGCAGAGGGGGTCACTGGGGGTCCGGGAAGAGCTCACAGACACAGCAGGCCCAGGCCTGCAGCCCCTGCTAAGGTGAAGACGGCAGGACAGCCCTGGGCGTGTGTCGGGCCTTCAGGGGCTCTGCGAGTTGGCACCAACGTGCGGGACCGGCCCTGGGGAGACGGTCGGTCTCCACGTCCCTGCCCCGGACTCCCAAACTGAGTCCTCACTCACCCAGCGCTCCCTTCCTCCTTCCCAGACCCAGAGTCCCAGAGGAAGAGGACAGTGCAGAATGTGCTGGACCTGCGGCAGAACCTGGAAGACACCATGTCCAGCCTGCGAGGGTCCCAGGTGACTCACAGGTAAGCCGCAGAGGGGCCACGCCCNGACTTTATTGGAGCAAGTGTCACATGAAGGGTCTCGCAGCATCACAATGAAAACCTTCCCAGTAAACCTACAGGTCCTGTCAGGGAATGGACTGCGTCCATTAAGGCGGGCCGGCCGTTTTCTGCAGGAAAGCCTGTCCTCCGATCTGAGCCCCAGTCCAAGTCCTGAAGTGAGAGAGACTGGCTATGCTCGTGGACCCTCTCTCTGATCCTGTTTCCCAGGGAAATGGGTGGGAGGAGCAGACAGGAGTGAACCAGCACCCCTTCCAAACCGCTGGAGGCCAGGCCGCCTCCTGGTCCCCCAGGCCTCAGCGCTGACTGCCCCTGACGGACGGTACTTCCTGGGCAGCGTTGGTGGCTGGGCAGCGTCACTTCCCAGCAGCATTTGTGCTCACTCTGCAAGCTGCCTTCCAAAGACTGCGCTGGCCCACTTCCTGCCCTCCGCCCACCGCAGACAGGCTGCCTCTGTCCCCACAGAGGGGCCAGGCTGGGCGTGGTCGGGTGGCGGGTGACTTCTCCCTCCTCATCAGGCAATCTTCTTGCCTCAGGAACATGGCAGAGGAGCGGACGCAAGACCTCTTGGCACAGATTTGAGCCCCGCTTCAGTCCCCACAGAGGGCGCTGTGTGCAGGGCGGTGAAGCAGAAAGGCCAGTGTGGGCTCTGTGACGGACGCTCTGGCCCTGAGTCTGAGCCCACAGGTCGCGAGCCTTCCCAGTGCTGGTCGACTCACCCCGGGAGCCAGGCACTGCTCTCTGTACCCAGCCGTAGGACAGGCTCCGGAGATGGGTGCGGCAAAGTGGGCTGTTGAGCAAGGATGAGTGTGCAACCTGGGCGCTGAGCGGGAACGAGAGAGGATGCCAGCCCTGGGAGTGCAGAGCGCAGGAGAGGGGAGTGGTGCTGAGCAGAATGCAGAGGGGGAAAGAGCCTTGGGCAGCTGCTCCCCAGCCTGACCGCGGCCAGCCCTGTGGCCACGGTGGCAAGGACCGGCAGCGCCCCCTCGTGGCCTTCTCAGCGGCAGCCCCAGAGTCCCTTGTGGGTGCTGGACCGGGCTGGCATCCTTGGAGAGCAGGACGTGGGGCTCCTCTTCTCTGAAGCCTGCAGATGGACGTAGAGCTGTGCCCAGGGAGTAGGTCTGGTCTGAAGGCTCAGGACACAGCCCGGTGACCTGGCATCAGGAAATCAAGCCCCGGTTTTGTGAGGGACATCCTGTCCTGCCAGGGTGCAGCACCATACTGGATCTCTCAAAACGTGACCTGCTGTGTCACGTCACCCACACGGGGGGCTTGCAACGGTGCAGACTCCGGGGCCCCATCTGGCCTGCGGAAGCGTGATCTCTGGGTGACACCCTGGCACCTGCATTTTTAACTCACTCTGGGAGAAAAGACGCATATGGGCTTCAGCCAACCACAGAGCCGTAAAGCCAGGCTGTCGAAGTCGGTTAGGGGCCTCAGGCATCCCTTACCCCANGTGCCCGTGTGGGTGGACCGGGCCCCGCTGTGTTGACCTGCTCAGCCGCCGATGGCTGCTGTGAAAAGGCCTGCTGGGAACACGGTCAAGTCTGGTCAAGTCCCTGGTCTCACTTCCTTTGGGTCTGTGCCTAGAAGCGGAATCACAGGATCATACAGCGATCCCGATTTTACTTGTGAGAGGAACCACCACGCCTGCCCTGCTTTACATCCCCAGTGCCCGACGGGTCCAGTTTCTCAAAAGAAGTTTTCCCAAAATACTTCCTTCTTTTTCTTTGACCAGCCAGCCTGGTGGGTGTGAGATGGTTCTCACTGCTGACTTGCGTTTCCCTCAGGACGAGCGATGCCGAGTATTTCAGGTGTTTCTTGTCCGTTCGTATTGGACCTGCCTTTCCAGAAATGTCTATTCAATCCTTTGCCCGTTTTTTAATCAGGCGGGGCTTTGGTTGTGGTCGAGCTGTCGGAGTTCTTTATATACTCTGGAAGGTCGTCCCTGTCAGATACGTGATTTGCAGATGTGTTCCCCCATTCTGTAGCTGCCTTTTCACCCCGTTCACTGCTCAGGTGCTCCCTGAGGCAGTTTTTCCCTTTGACAAAGTCCAGTGTATCTAGTGCTGTTTTGGTTGCCTGTGTCATAATCCAAGAAATCGTTGCCAAATCCAATGACACGAGCCTTCCCCTGTGTTTTGATAGCTGATGGGGCTTTTGAAAAACACAGGGTCCCAGCGCATCCCAGGTACAGCAGCAGGTGCTGAGCTGCCCCAGGACGCCCGTTGTTCTAAAGCTTCTCGGTGACCAGTCCGCCTTCCCGGAAGCATCCCCGAGAGCCAGCCTTTCAGCCTGGACTTGCATAGGCACAGTGACGGGGAGCTCATTCCATTGCAAACAGAATAAAATTGTAAGAGTTTCTAAATAGTCACCTGAGACCTGTTTCCCTGTAACTTCTGCCTATTGATTCAAATTTCGTCATGGGGACAAGGGAAGGAATAGAACAAGTGGAAATCTTCGTTGAAATAGTTTTACATGTTCTCCATGATATAGTCTCTTCTCTGGACCGTCGTCTCCTCCCGACCACACACACACACACACACACACACACACACACACACACACACACACACACACACACACAAGTCCCCAGCTTATTTTAGTATTTTCCTACACAACCCAGTTTTCCTGCTTGTCCTGGTCACTCTCCTCTGGAAGCTCTCACGTTGTCAGTGGTCCTCTTAAAACTTGGCACCTGGATGGTCACCGCCTGACACTGGTCCTGCCAGGGTGACGTCCACATCGTGACACTGTGGACAGCTCGAGGTGGCTGCTGACTGTCCCAGATCACAGCTCAGGACATTTCTACCTCTTGAAAAGAGGAAAGGAATTCGTTTTTCTAAAAATAGGAAGGTCTGGAATTTAATNCCAGACCAGCCGGCCTCAGCTCCCTTGATACCACAGAGATAAAGTGTCCCCACTTGGCGGGAGCTTGGAGATCCACCCGCCTGTGGCGACCCAGCCTGCTGAGGTGCCCGCGCCTCAAACAGTGCGGCGATTCTCCGTTAACTCACCGTGGAGTGCACTGAGCTGTTTGGCCCGCGTCAGACGAGTCCGCCTGCCTAAGTGTCATCTCCTCTGCCTCGTCTCCTGCCCCAGTTCCCTTTTCTCCAGGTGGGACCGTGTGCTTTCAGGAACCGCGTTCTTCTCTATCTCACGGCCCACCCCACCCGGAGCTGCTGGGCTTTCGCTTGGGGCAGGGAGGGCCTCCCTGGAACCATCATCTTCTGAAGCCAGATGGCAGGAGAGGGACCTCAAGAGGAAAGGCCTAGTGCCGTGGCCCCAAATTATCGTTCGTGATTAGAATGTGTCCCCAGATCACATGGGGCTTCCGTTCCCCAACACGGAAAGGGGATGGTTCCACCCTCTTCTGAGATGGGTCCTTAATGTCCAGGGGCCTCGTCCAGGCCAGACCAGGCAGCAAGGAGTGAAAGAAAGGTGTGCGAGGTTCCGGGGCGGAAGGGCCGTGGTGCAGCGGCCGCTCCCTCCCGCTGCCGTTGAGAGGAAGCCAGAAGCCAGGCTGAGCCCAGGTGTCCAGATGGGACTCCCTCTGCCTTCTTCTCCCCCTCTCCACCCCGAGCTGTGAGAGCCTTTCCTGGCCCGGCCCAGCCCTGTCCCCAGTCCTCAGGCTGGACCCTCGGGCACAGGGAGGCGTTCGGGAGCCTCAGCGAGGGCAAGCAGGCCCCACTCACGGGAAGTGTGGAGGCTGAAGCGCAGGAAATGGTCTCACCTGAGACCAAGGCCTCCGCTGTCCTCCAAGGCCCAGCCAGCCCCACGGGCTCCCGCCCCAGCCCTTCTGGTCCCGGTGAACCTTTCCTGCGTCCCTGTTCCCTCCAGCCAAGCAGTTGTACACCAGCACAATTAGGTAATTAATAATCGTGTCATGTCCTGTGTTTCCGGCACGCCACGCTTAAATCTGGGGTCCGTGTGGCGTGGACTCGAATGTCAGGAAACATCCTGTGCTTCGTTGTCTTTAAGGCGACTTAATGCTCATCCTGAGCCCCCACCCACTGGAGTGGACGGGCAGGTCGCCCGAATGACTGGGGTGCTTTCCCGGCCCCAGGCTTGCACCAGCGGCAGGACGGCTTAGGGGGTACATGGAGGACAGGCTCCCCCATGGTCCCGCAGGCTTCCTCAGCCCCAGACCCACGGGGCCTTCGAGGTGGGCGCCCCAGTTCTGCCATAGGATGGGGGCCTCTTTGCCAGGGCTGGGCTTTCCTGTGCCCATTGCCCCCCAGATTTGCACCCCTCAGTGTATGGTTGGGGCGCCTGGCCGCTGGCTGCTGTCGGACTCACAGCCTCTTCATTTCTCGTCCTGGAGAGCCCGGTCCCTCTCTGCTTCTCAGAGGTGCTCGTTTCGTCCCCCTAAAATGGCCTCCCTGACAGCCGGAAGCTTTCGCCCAGTCCTCTGACTGGCTCTGCTTCCTACTCCAAGCAGCATTCCTGAAGTGGGGAGTTCTGGAACCTGGTGACCTGCTCAAAATGGGGGCTGGGGAGTGGGGTGCAGAGAGCGACACAGCAATTCAGCCTCGGAGATGTGTCCTGCCGTCTGGCCTCGCTGATCTCACACCATCCGTGTAGGTAGGTGGACAGTCTCCACAGCCCCCCCAGGCAGGTGAGGGAGCCGCCGTGAGCGGATGGTGAGGCCAGGACCGGCCCGGGGCCCCTGCCTCTACCCAGGCTGCTGCTCCTCTGACCTCGGCCTCTGACTGCAGCTGGCTGGCCCATGTGTCTGTGTGTCCCGCACTGAGCGCTCGGCGTGGAAAAGCCTGGTCTTCAGTGTAGCTCCTTCCGGTGCAGGGCGCGTCCCCCCGCTTTACAGATGAGGAGGTAGGGGCACAGAGGCATGGCCCTCTCCCGGGGTCACAGAGTCGGTAACTGGGGCACCCAGACCTCGAANCAGCCTGGGGGGCAGGCGTGGGACAGCTGTGCCGAGAGTGAAGCAGCGCCCTCTGCTCCCACCCAGCTCCCTGGAGATGACCTGCTATGACAGTGACGACGCCAACCCTCGCAGCGTGTCCAGCCTCTCCAACCGCTCCTCCCCGCTGTCCTGGCGCTACGGCCAGGCCAGCCCCAGGCTGCAGGCCGGCGATGCGCCCTCGGTGGGCGGGGGCTGCCGCTCAGAGGGGCCGCCCGCCTGGTACGCGCACGGGGAGCGCGCCCACTACTCGCACACCATGCCCATGCGCAGCCCCAGCAAGCTCAGCCACGTCTCCCGCCTGGACTCGGACGACGCAGACCTCAAGTCCGGCTACATGAGCGATAGCGACCTCATGGGCAAGACCATGACGGAGGACGACGACATCACCACCGGGTGAGGGCGAGCCCCGTGTGGCTGGGGACCAGGGGGACGGGATCCCTTGTGAGTGGAGCGGAGCCCACAGCAGGGGTTCGGGTCTGCTGAGCTGTGACGGGGGGGCCTCTGCGTTCTGGGTGTGACCGCCCCTGAAATGGACTTGGGTGTAGGGGGTGAGGCTGACATCTGGGGGCTGAAGCCTCTTCTCATCGGTCCCCGTGGCTGTCATTCTGTGGTGTGTCGCCCCCTCTGTCCTTGACCCCCAAAAGTCTGGCAGGAAGGGTTCAGGAAGTCCTGTCGGTCCCAGCGCCCCCGCTGGCTCTGTGCAGACCTTGGACGGCTTCCTGTGCTTCCGCATTTGTCAGAAGAGGGTGATAAGACCGTATCTGTCTGTCTCGAGAGGCTGCTAAGGAGAGAAAATGAAAGCGTGTGGGTGAGAGCAGGTGTGCAACAGAACAGGAGCAGCCCCACTTCCCACTGTGCACGGTCCCCGCCTTGCCCCGGGGCCCTAGTGTCTCCCCTCTGCTTTCCTTCCGCCAGTAGTGCACCCCCCTGCCCAGCCCGTTAAACCCTCTGCCCTGTCCTTGCCCCACGGGACCTTCATCTTCTTTTTCTGCCCAATCGACGGGGTTGAGTTTGTGGAACAACTTAGACCCAGGTGGCAGTGAGGGGAGAGGAATGGGAAGAAAGACGTGCTGGGGGCTTGAGGGGTCCTGGCCAACTGCTGCAAGCCCTGAGGCCAGAGGGCGGCGCCGCTTCTGGGAGCTTCTTTGGCGTCTCAGCTGACGGTACTTCACTCTTCCTTCTTGGTCGGCTGGGACCCTCCAGGGGACCACACAGGTAGCAGCAGCCCCCCAGCAGGGTCGACCTCTCCCCAGGAAAAATCTCAAAGCTACAGAGAATGGGAGGTGACGAGCGCCACCCACTGCGCCCCACCCTGGGGTGAGCAAGGGGGGTCCAGCAGGCCCGTCCAGCTGCCGGTCTGCTCAGGACCAAAACAGCTGACGCACGAGTAGGGCTGTTTACTGCCTGCAAATCCCAGGGCGGCCGACCTCACAGCTCCGCCAGCCTGCAGCTGTGCTCAGAGGCTGTCCGGGCGGAGCACAGCCAGGGAGGCCGGCCGGCTGCTCTGCACGGCCTCTGCCCAGGAAGCGCCTGCCAGCGGAAGTATCTGGTCCCTGTCCTCGGGGAGCTCCCAGCCGGGCGGACGGGCAGAGGGCGCCCCTGAGGGGCAAGTGCTCAAAAGCCTCACGTGTGGGAAGGACCAGGGCCCAGGTCCTTGGGGAGCTCCCAGACGCGGTGGGTGAGACTTCTGATAGCTCCCCACCCCACTGCCTGCCGGTGGCCGTGGCACAGAACCCCCAAATGTTGAAAGGGGCGTAGGATGTGGAATGTTGGGCCGGGCAGCAGGAAAGGTGTTGCAGACCCGGGGGAACCAGGTCCTCACAGGGGGGCGTGCTGGCCTGGGCCGTCCATCGGGTGGACCTGCCTTAGCTCGGGTGAGCTCTTAGCTCTCAAGACAATTTCACGTGCGGTTTTACGGCCGGCCTGCAGTTAGTCGTAACTCCCTGCACTTTAACCATTAACGTCCCTGCAAGGACTGGAAGCACCCCCGCCCTTAAATTCACCCAGGAGGCCAGAGTCGGGGTGACTGTGCGATGCCCTGTGGTCTGAATGTCACTGCTCCGGTCGCGTTCTCCTGGTAAGCGGCGTGTCTTCTCGGTGGGAACGGCGTCTAGATGCCAGCCCATCGTGGCGGGNAACTGGCAGCACCCTAAAGCAGGGTATTTAAATATTTCTTTTGCACCTTGGCCTCCGGTAGGGAATACACTTTCCAGCAAACCCGGTGGAAAGTTTGGGTCGAAAGTTTTAAGAAACCCTACTCCCCATATACCATGTACAGCGAGATTTTGTCTTATTTTCTGGGTTTTTTTGTTAATTGCTGGTTGCACTGAACTGACTTCATAACCCACAAACGAGTTGCCACTGGAATTTGAAAGGTCCCCGGGAGCTGGGTGTCGGCAGTTGTCCCAGCTTTGGGCAGCGGAGCCTTTTCTCGGCGCTTGGCCATCTGCCAGTCCCTCGTGCTGGTACGTTTGCTGGTTCCCAGACCCTCACAGCCACTCCAAGATGTCCGTTACGATTGTCCTCATCATTCACACGAGGGGCACAGAGAGGGTAGGTTACTTGTCCAAGGTCATGCTGCTGGTGAGAGACAGAACCAGACACCAGACGCTCAGCGGGTGGGCTGTGCGGCTGCCACAGACACGGGAGGTCCTGCAAGGCGGTCGCTGTGACACTAAGAAAGCCAGAGCCGGACTTGGGTGCTTCCGGAGGCAGCCACGATTTTCTGTAAAGAGCCTGCAGAGCAGACTGGGCCCTGGGGACCCACAGCCCAGCAGACGCCCAAGCCTGTCTGCCCTGGGGACGCGCGTGGGCAGACCGCTAGAGCTGGCAGTGGGGACCAGTGGCCTTCTGGGGGTGTTGGGCCCAAAGCAGAGCTCTGCCCACTGGCCAATGGGTAAATAGGACCCTTCTGAGTAGATAGAACAGCCTGACTCCAGTCTTAAAAAAAAAAAAAATACTGCGGGTAATTTTAAACATAACACTTTGTGCAGGCGAAAAAAAAAGTGAGCTTAACCAAACACTCCCACTGTTTCTTAATGCATTTGCTGTTTCAGGCCCTGTGAGAAAGCGACAAAGGTCTCAAACATGCACCTCAGAGCACAGGAGGGCGGTGTCCCTGAATTGGATGGGTTGCTTTTTATTATAGATGTGAGCCGAGCGCTTCCGGCACGTGGGCGGGCAGGGCCCACAGATGGGCCGTGGCAGATAGGAGTGGAGTGACAGCGCGTGTGTAAGGGACGCTCGTGGGAGGCACACACGTTCACATTGCTTTGCTGCCGTCTTCTCTTGGCAGCGTAGCTCGTGAGAGCTGCAGTGGGAGGGTGGTTGTGAAGTGGCTGAGGTAGGAGCGTCCGCTATCCTCAAACGGGATTGTCAGCCCCTCAAGTTGTGTCTCCACCTCCCACCCACCACCCCTTACAACTGGGAGCGTCCAGCCCGCCGCCGTTGGCCACTCCTAGCCCTCTGCTTCCTCAGCTAAGCCCAGGGCAGAACCTCAAAGCCAGGGGACCGGCCGCACCCTCGGCCTCCAGCTGTACAAGCCTGTTTACTAGGGAGGGTGTGGGGCCTGGACATTATGAGGTGGTGGCCGGATGCCAGCCCTGCCTGGAGCCTGGAGCCCGGAGCCCGCCGGGCAGGAGTCTCATGGACACTGCCCAAGAGGATGTCCAGGAGTCGAGTTACGGGAGCCAGCGGACGCAGGGAAGGGTCCTTAGAGGAAGGACGGCAGGGCCTGGAGGAAGCAGCTCCGAGAGGAAGCACCGTGTGACCTCGGCGGGCTGGGCCCGCACTGCCCCCAGGCCTCCCTGCCAGGCCCCGGGCCACTTGGGCAGGCCAGGCCTCCCTTCTCTCCGATTCCTGTGAGCCTCGCTTGGTAGATAAGGTGCAAGGACCCTCCTTAGCTGTGGACGGTGAGCCCAGTGAAGTTGCCATGGTAACCCTGTGGCTGATAGGGACTTGGGTTGCTATGGCAACTTGTCTAAAACCCAAAAGTATTTTGGGGGAGGGGTTTCAGCAGAGAAGAAGGGTGGTGGGGACCATCTGCGCACTGGTGTCACACCGCCCAGGGTTCTGTGCGTTCTCTTCTCGGTGCCTCGGGGTGTGTGGGGGCTTCTCNTTTTCTGTTCTGAGTGTCCCTCGTCCTAGGATTCTCGGAGGGCGCCCTCCCAGCACCCAGGGCCTTTTCACTCTCTGCAGTTAGGCTCCAACCCCTGGCCCCTTCAGCCTGAGAGCTCGGCGGGGGCCCCCAGACTCCACGCCATGTCCACCCCGTACGGGGACCTTGCAGCCTCCAGCTGTACGGGCAGCGCCCTCCTGACCACCTCTCCCTGCAGGGCGTCCTGGCCACAGCGGGTCGGTCGTGACTCAGAATCTCCCCCACCGGCTCCTTGGGCTGTCCAGATGAGCTCATGCGCTCAGCTACAAGGGGGGCAGAGGGCTGGGCTACCCACGGGAGGCAGAGCAGGACCAGCAGCCAGGATTGGGAAACCACCCGGGTGTGAATGGCCGGGCAGCTCAGGGGGGGAGGCAGCCTCTGCAGCTGATGGGAGTCAGTTCCTCCCCGTCTCCTGGGGCTGGAAATGAGAGCAGAGTTGGGACCGAGGGGCTTTCCTTAGCCCAAGTGGTATCTAGACTGAGCTTACATACCCCCAGTGACGGAGAACTCATCCCCTCTCAGCCACCCCAGCCCACTGGGGTTGCCGTGGTCCTGAAGTGGAGCTGAGCTCCGGCTTCGGCGGCCTTCAGCCACGGGCAGCAGTTCCTCTCCTGCTTCAGACCGCGTTTCTCCCCCTCCAACGCTCCACCCTGCAGCCCCATCACAGCCTGCCTCCTGGACTCTCAGCCCTTTGCTCCCAGACATCCAGAGTGTTTTCAATGAGAAGCCAAAGCCCCTATTCCCTGGGATCACCTCTGCTCAGGCCAGCAGACCCTGGCTACTGAAAAGGATGCGATCTAGGAGGTCGGAGAGAAAAGCAGAGCGGGGCCCCAGGCCCTGGGACGCAGGCCCCCTGCCTCCGCCTGCACCCTCCGCCCGTCACGGCCCTGGGTGGGAACCCGAGTAGGACAGGGGTCTGGCTCGGCTCCACTCGTCATCTCAGAGACTCTGTGATGAAACCTTGAACCCAGCCCCATGCCAAGGAAACAGAAAGCACTTCATTGCTGAGACGGTCACACCCCGAGTGACTCATCCTCAGGGAGGGGCAGAGGCGGCACCTCCAGCCTCCTGGGGCCGCTGACTCTGAGAGTCAGCCCCAGCCCCCCAAGTTAAGCAGGACAGCTTGACCCCAGGCAGGCACTGTTTAAGGGGTGAGAGGAGCCAAAAGCCTTTGTGTACAGCTGACTGGTTTTGGGGGCGCACCTCAGGCCTTCGGCTCTGACTCCCTTTGTGGGAG